TATTTGCAAAGGTAGTCATGATTGCAACCTTCATAGATCGCCTAACTTTAAACCTCCATAACTCCATATTCAACTGACAAGTTCCTTCCAGAGGACTTTCTCCTAATTTGCAGGAAGCTATTCTACCGGATTGATAGATAATCCCTTGGTCAGCAACTCTTGGTTACTTTGGGTGGTTTTGTGATGTTGTATATGCAACCTTCTTAGGTCGCCCAGTTTGAAGCTGAATGTAACGTGTTTGCAAGGTGCTAGTCACGTTATCAGTAATAGGTAAGATAGTCAACAGGTAGCCTGCTCTACCAGAGATAAGGTGAGAGCTGAGAACTAAAGTAGAGTTTGAAAGGTGTACTGTGGAACAAAAAAGTAACTGTTCAACCAAGTATATTGAAGTACTGTCTGTCGAAGTCTGCCTTTTCCATAGTGGAATCAGGCAGTATTTAAATACACAAATCTGTTCATATATAGTATGAGCGAAACTAATCAAAGATATCAATTGATACACTTTGGTAAAACTAATTAAGTATCAAAATAATACTTAAAACAAAACATAAAACAAAACTAAGTATCAAACGATACTTAAAACAAACTAAGTATCAAAGCAATACTTAAAACAAAACATAGAACAAAACTAAGTATCAAACGATACTTAAAACATACCAAGTATCAAAGCAATACTTAAAATAAAAGTAATAAGCGAGTACCCTTACTGGTTATACTAAATATCTCCTGACCTAACTGATAGATTCTTATCCAGTAACTTCCCTTGTGTAGAGGAGAAACACTTCCATAGGATAGAATTATAACTCTTTAGTCACAGGTCCTTGGGTGTCATACAGGAAGCCTTGCACTTGCAAGTAGTATTGGTTGAAAATTACTCAATACCAGAAATAACTTTAATGATAACAGGAGGTGAACACGTGACCTTCAGAAAGCATGTCATGTGATATTTCCATTGGGCTATGGACCTGCAGACTCCATAAAGGAATTGGAGTAGGGTGTTGATACCAGAGATTCTGATTCCGAATAGGGTTACCCTACTTAAGGTAGTTCCTAGGTATAGAATCCTAGTATTACTAACAGAAAGTCAGGTAAATTTATTAATTTTATTTAATTTATTTACATGTTTTAATACTAATCTACAATATATATAGGAGTTGAACTTCCATACCATATGTATATGACTCCATATGAGTTGACAAACCAGAAGGCTGCCACTCTTCTCCAGCTTTGCTGAAAGTGGAAAGATAAAAATGCCAAAGTTGAGAGGTATAATCTTATAAACCTTAGTGTTGAGAATCTAAGACCTCTACCAGTGATGAAGGAATGAGGGAAGGATAGAAGAGGGGGTATAGATTGGTTCATATATCGTGAACATATTCTAAGCCCCCTCCTCCATCCGTTTATAATCCTGGTTCAGGCTGTCCGCTCTAGGATGGTGATAATAGAGAATAATGTGTCAGCACATATCTACTATTATCATGGCTGCCTATGGCAGTAGCTTGAATTTCAGAAGCTGGAATGGCCTGCGAACTCCCCAGATCTCAACCCAATCAAGACGATTTGGTGTGAGTTAAAGGTTAGTATTAAGGCATGATGAGGAATTTGGATTACTGCTACTGGGATTTGGATGTTTGTGGAGAAGAAATAGCTCTGATATCCTATAGAGAGGATCAATCAGCATATTATGTCTATACAGAGCCGAATAAAAGCATGTATTATTGATGGTAGTGGTAATTCCTTTGACCATTAGTTGTTTTATAATTTGTTTTCATTTCTATTTTCTATCTATATATTGTACAGTAATTTCCCACTGGCCTACTGCTGAGTGACCGTTTTATGATTCTATTTCTTAGGACCCTCTTCAGAATCTCCTCCTAGCACTTCTTGCACCTGAATCCTTTCAATAAGCTATTCTGTGTTTCTAAAAAGTACTTCCCTTCCTGCTCATGTAGGTCTCCTACATCTTTTCTTAGCTACATATGTGGGATCATGTGGACCCAGTTGTTTTTACAAATGTTAGAAAATTATGAGTAAAAGTTCTAATTGAATGACTGTAACTGACAGAGTACAAATAGTACCAAGCACTCTGCGTAATATCACATGTATTCAGTATAGCAAGCTTGTTTGTACCTATGCACAAGCAATACATTATAGTATGGAACTCTAGAATTTGCCTATGACTACAATAGATTTGCTGAACATAGTTTTTAAATTCTGGAGTTCAGTAAGCTGTGGCACTTCAATAGGCCTGCATTATATGAAATGAGTATTACCAGAAGTGCCATATCAAAGTATCAGAAACAGAATCAAGTTCAATGGGTATGAGCTTTTGGAGAGCATTAATCTTAAAGTGGCAGTATTTATGTGTAAAACACTTCACTGTACTCCAGAAATACTCAATTAGGTTCAATTCACCATGAATCTTAGGGTAGAAGAGTACTAGATGACCCCTAGCTTCAACCTCCTCCTGAAGTTGGCATCTTTGATCTTGAAAGTCTTTCTGACTAGAAAGAAGAACATGTGCACAGCATTGATCACCTCCAAGACAGGTTTTATGTAACTTATCTATTTCAGGTTTGCATCACTGAGTGCGCAATCCACAGTGCCATAAGCCACACTCTTCCAATACTGTTTTGAGCCCTTTTGACTCACCATTTAGCTGTACTATCGGTTGTGATGCTGAGGTAAGAGGGTTGAATCCATTGCACATGATTGGCTGCTAGCTACTGGGATGGAGATTCATAGGCATCTGATGCATAGATGGCATGTCTGGTTACATTATTGAACAAAAATAAAGCCTAGCACTGAGGAAAATCTGGGCAAATAAGTAGAATCGCAAGACACAGATCCTGTTCCACTAAATCTTCTACCTTCCACTATTTCCCTTTTCCATATTCCAATTTCATTGTAGCAGTATAGAGGCTTATTCTTTGCCCTTCCCTTTCTCTATAATTAGGTAAATTTTCAGAGGGTAATCACTCAGGGGAACACAGACATCCTCCTGGAAAAATGAAGTCTGATATCATGATTCCTTGGCCCCATGACTTTGTCCTTAAGATTACATTTCCATTACGACTCTATAGGTAATGGCAGCCATTATTAGAATCAAAGATTGACTCATCAAGTATAATTAGAATAAGGGGCTTTTCACCTGGCCCTAACACCCCTGAGTCTGGATAGTGGACATGAGGTTGTCCTCCTGAGTCTTCCTTCCATTAAACTAGCCAGTGTTCTAAGCTTTTAAGCTTTGGAAGAAAAGTATCTTGCCGATAGGAAATTACATTAGGTCTCTCATGACCATCTTTATATACATCTTTCCTTACCTCATGGTACTTGTATTCTAGTGATCGTAACCAGGTACTGTTACTATACTGTGAAATAATTTTCTCTACAGTACTGACAGTGAGGGTAGAGGGATGTAGGTTACAAATTTCTCATTCTGGCACTTCCCACAAATTGTCATCTCCAAAGTCCAGCCTTCTGGATCTCCAGTATGTGGTAACAGTATTGTCAAAAACTTGAGTACTTAGATTTATACCAGCTCCAGCTATGTACTCCCGAATAGCAATTAAGGTAGACTCATCCTGCAACTTAGATGTAATACTCATAAATCAATCTTGCTTCTATGGAATAATTATATGGTTTTGGATCCACTGCCATCGCAAATGGATAATCCACAATACTACTCAGTGACCTTTCTCTGCTGTAGCTGCTATCATAGCTACGATCTCTTTCTGGTAACATTTCCAAAATGGTTTTACAAGACCAAGCTGCTCCAGCCACATGAATTCAAGAGGTGATGGTATTGGACTTGATCATGACCCACAAACTGTGTTTTCTTTCTTTTTAACTCTCTCCGGAGGTCTGACATTGCTATATAACATAAGATCTTAAGATTAGCTTTTCTTCTTCTTCCTTAAAGTATACTAAGAAAGGAAGAGAACATACCTGCAGTCAAGCTTTTGTTCTTAATTCTCTTCTATTGCTTTATCAACATATGGGGCCAATTTCGCAGACCCTTGATGACCACTTCCTCTATTGTACTTTCTCAATCTGAAGCTATACCCTCAATTGCTTCTACCAAACTATCATTCATACTTTCTTCCTGGAATTTCCTCGCCTCATTATCTGGACTGAATCTACTAGCGTGACTACTTTCTATTGCTTTCTCTATTTTCTTCTCCATTTCCTTGGCAGCTTCTGCCTACTTTCTTCGCTGCCACAGTGTTTGCCAGCAAGGTGGCATCTTACCACCTGCCTTTTAGGATAAGGTACTATTTGTATTTGCCTTGTCACACTTCTCTGCTACCTCTCCTGTTCAAATACTCGTTAGCTATATTTTACCTCTCTTCTACTTAAAAGCCTTGCTGAAGGAACAATACCGCTGATTTGCTCAAAGATACCATTCTTGTTCCGACCACCAGGTCTGCCTACACTCCTCTTAAACAATTTCTGGTTCGCTCAGTCACCCCATTCTGAGCACCTGGCAATTGTAATACTTGATGTACTAGAAAGAGTGAAAGAAAGGTTAATGCTGGTATGTAATGGTACTGGTAAGTAGAATCCGTTGGTTTGATTAGCATGATATGGTATATCCCGGAGTTTGTTTTCTAGCCAAGCATTTCGTGCTTATATGCCACCGTTGACACGTTGCATATCTCTCACATTTACACCAAAATTGACTAGAATCGATCATTAAACCAAGCATCGCTATCTGGTTTTCCACTTTGCAAAAAACTACTACCCTCTAGTGCTTGGTCTGGCCTACATTGTTGTGGTTTTTTTATTGTAAATCTTGCAAAACTCTTAAGGTCGTTAACATTTGCCGGTGTCAAAATCTTGGTTCACATTTATCACTTCTGGCACTATACTGTACTCGTACTTGTACTGTGTGCTGTTTATGCGGAGCTGGTTGTTGGGGGCTGTGACGATTTCTCTTTTTATTTTTTTATTTTTTTATTTTTATTCTCTCATTAAAGAAACCAGCACAGATTGTGTTGCATTGATATGACAATGTTTGATTCTTCTTGTCCAGATGGATATGCTACTTTTCGGTAAATGCCTAAAGCTGAATAGAAACCCGGTTCCATTCCTTTGAACAAAGGGAAGGGGAAGAAAAAGGGAGAAGAAAAAAACGCCCGACTCCATCTACGATAACTACAGTGCCAGCTAACTAACCACATGATATCTCCGCTGAAAAATCCTAAACGCTTAACCCTCCTAGAAGAAGAAAAAGAAAAAAAACCCCTTGAATTATACACTCCCCTTCCTCGTCTAACAAGACCGCCCACTTCCGCCCCCACTCCTACAGGAATTCGAGTGACTACTCGTAGAAAACAAAGTCTTCTTCTCCGCTGGCAGACACCCGCTGCCGGAATGCCTCTTCCTGTAAAACACTCTGAGACACGGCAAGCAGAAGGCCGTGAAGGCGAACAGCTTCTCGATAACGGCCCACACCAGCGTTCTCCGGATCGCCTCGATGGAGTTGTCGGCGTGCATTACTACGTAGTAGACCTGCGTGAAGCGCACTACCGACGCAGCGATGGAGAGGGCGCCGATGCAGAAGACTACGCTTAAGGCGTAGAGGTCCTTGCGGCCGAGGTTTAGGGTTGAGATTGTGAAGAGGGGGACTATTAGGACTGCGGTGGGTTAGTCAGGCCAGGGGAGACGTGGGGGCGGGGGAAGTACCCATTATGTCACTGGTTATGTTTGTCCATTGCTGGAGTATCATCCCCGGGACGGTGAGGGTTGCTAGGCATCTATCTGAGCCGGTGGACCTGTAGATTCTCTTAGCTGGGGACCTTTTAGAGCTATAGGAGATAATTGTGCTCGAGAACGTACCAATTCGTAGATATTGGGTGACAATAGGCAAATTGAAAGGATAGAACCCCAATATATGTCACAAGGCAATACGCCGACACAGCATACAGCAGAAATTTAATCCTATCCGTAAGAGTTTCTCTTAAACTCCAATAGTATCCCAAGAATGCGGCCTTTAGTAACCAAACCTGCGTCGTGCAGAATAGGGTAATGGCGAAGAATTCCTAGAAACAAGCAATCCCCCCAAAATTAGCTTTCGGCTTCACCAATTTCCCAATTCCCCATTCGCAGCCCCCCACCAGTGATGCATCCGGAGAAGGCCCACCTTCAGATATCCCTCCGTAAACAACATGTGTGGAATGGCCTGATCCCCAAAGTCCCGCCGGATGCGGAGCTCCTGGAGAACCACATCATACGCAATCCCGGCCGTCGCGACCATCAAAACGGTGAACAGCACGAACGCAGCGTCACTAATGTTCACCGCGAGTGTTCTGGGCCTCCGCCTTAGTATACATAACCTCCCGATCGTGCCAAATATCGTCAGCACTGTTATGAACGCCACGAGAGCTATGAAACCATTTATGTCGTCCGGCATCATGATATTGGGGATTGCTTTAGAGGGTGGCGGTGGTGGGTTGAAATGTTTGGGCGGACATGTAATGGGTTTTGGTGGTTGGATGGGTGTATATATACGGTATGTAGGTATGTAGGTATGTATGTATGTATGGCGGGTGTGGGGAGGAGGTGGGGGGAAAGGGAGATATACTTGTAGGTTAGGCGCGGGCACGTATATATGTGTATTTTACGTTGGATTGGGATGGGCAGGATGGGGCAGAGGAGGGTGAGTGGACGGATGGGATTGTCGGAGGGACGAATGGGGGGTTTGGTAGCTGAGTGAGTGCGCAAGCAAGCAAGTGAGTGGGAGAAGCAAATAAATATTTTTATTATTACAGTGATTCAGCGCGGACGGAGAGCCCTGCCGCCCAAAACAGTATCAGATTCGTACGTACTATGCTAACTTGGTCAAACTACCGGTAAAAGTATGTTATGGCAACCCCCCCCCCCCGAAGCCAGCCCATCGAACGAGGGTGGCAAGACCAAATGGAGAAGAAAAAGAGAAGGGGAGACAGAGTGAGAGTGTGAGAGAGTCCGAATTATCAGGAAAGGGATGTGAGCCTCGGCGAGCGGAGTGGCGTGCTCCCACACCAGGAATAAATCTGTGGGGGATTTACTCGAGTAGCTGTAGATAACGATGGATAACCGGCTCTGATACAAGGGCACGATTACTAACTGAAACGGGCATTTTTTCATTTGGCTTTTTAACCTTAGATAACCGTTCCATAACTTCCTCACAGACCGTGCAGTTCTGTGGATTCGCTATCATAGGAGGGATCAAGAGACAAAGCGACAGAAAAAAAGATTACCGGTAGAATATCGCACACGAGTGGACGTTCCTTGGTGGAGAGAGGAGAGAGGGAGAGAGGTGCCCTTCCGGTATGATACTATCGAGCTGACCACCGCTCAGGTTTAGTCCCTAAATGGGGGGGCAGCTTTTGGCGGTTAAGGGTGCATTTGCTGGCTAGGGCTTGCCGTTCACTGGGACGAGCGAGATTCGGTGTGGTAGTTTGAAGGGAAAAAAAAAAAAAAAAAAAAAAAAGTCCCATCTAAGCTATCATAATATTATCGGTCTCTCTCTCTCTCTTCTCTTGCAGGGCGAATGGGGAGCACATTCCTAAACAATGATTATTGTGATAGAGGAGGTTTTATTGTGTTTTGCCTTGTTTTTCTCTCCTCTGCCAGTTTGGGGCTATCCCCACCCCTCTTCAATGGAGACACCAATCCGTGTCTGTGGGGGAATCACATCAGGGATCCCACGTTGCCCATAACGGCTTTTACTTTTTTTTTCTTTTTCTTTTTTCCCTTTTTTACACTTCTCCCTCACAGCCCTGCTTTTATTTAGCAATATACTCGAGTACCATTGAAAGTACTCGTACATTATACATGAGAGCGTCTACCGGTACCGGTACTGTCACCTTTCCTGTATTGTACTTGTACTTGGTATGATATTCCGAGATTAGGAATGGTCCAAGTATGGCAATCGTTTACCGGCAGATGTTCTCCACCATTATTGGTCGGGTCATATAGTAAGATATCCCCCGGCCATATTCCTCCTTTGGTAATGATGTTAGCCTACCTAACCCGTGGTCATCAACCGCACAATATCTGCACACTGATTACAGGTAATGCAAGGGATCTATGACGAGGGTTCGTTATTAGGATCAGGTCTTGACATGAAAACATAAATAGCTTTTCTCCCCCCACTTGCGAGTGCCGCCGGTACGTACTGTACTCGCTACCGGTATCACACCGTGTCAAAGGCTTTGACAACTTTCACACCTTTAAACAACCCAGAGTATGATTGAACAGAGTATAATTGAACAGAGTATAATTGAAACGAAACAAGAACCGCACACCTTCCCCTTCCCTCGCACAACAATGGCTTGACCAATCAAGAAAGACAAAACCCGAATCGTGGTATCTATCCTACCCCATTTCCCTGCCCTATTCGTATCATAAATGCAAGTATGGTACTGTACAGTACAGTACAGTACAATACAATACAATACAATACAATACGATACCGTGATAGTAACCATAACCCGTTTAATCAATCCAACCCTCCTTAACCCACAAACTTTCCCACTCTCACTGGCTCGCCCCCGGTCCAAGCTCCCAACCAACTCCTTCCCGATAGAAACATTTTTAAAATTCCAGGAGTGGAAAAAACTCATCGCAAAGCACAACGCAGTACAGCGCGGTACTGTACAGTACTTGCGCCGTAAAATTTTTCGAAAGCTACCACCGGATCATCACCGGAAAATCAGCCCATCAGCCCAGCCCATCAGCCCATCATCCCACACAACATGTTTGATCCGACAAAGTTACGAATGTGTACCAGTCGCTGAGAGAGAGGGAGAGGGGGAGAGGGGGAGAGGGGGAGAGACCCAACACGGATCCGATGGCCTAACCCTGTACCACGCGAAGAAGAAGGAGAAAGTGCTCACCATTCTTCTCGGGAACCCCGTTCTGTTCCATCATATCGAATCCGGAGATGACGGGGGGGGGGTGGCAGAAATGAATGGATTTCTAGAGTTTTTCCGGTACCATACATTGTGCGCAATGTACGAGTACAGTACTCGAGTACTAGTACAGTAAAGAACATGTACCGGTGACTGCAGCAGATTGAAGGGTCTCACAGACGTGCCGGAATTACCGTTGTTGCCTGGCCTTACTTGCTTTGCATACGGCGCTCTGCTCGAGCACGGTGCGGGTAGCAGGGCAGGAACGAAGTGGGCACAGGGATCAGAGATTTGCATGGCATGCATGGCAGATTGTGTGTCGGAGCGCCAGTGCTAAATTTGGACTTTGGGAGAAAAAAAGATATTCAGGTACTTTATTCATATCGGATAGTTATAGTACAGTACTCGAGTATTCGAGTGCAGTAGGACAGCGAATGGATGGGGGTGGACGAATTGAATCGCCGTTAAATGTCTGCCAGGAGGGGGTGGTGGGGAAAGCTCAGACCATCTGAGTGGGGTGGTGTGGTGGTGCCTTGTTAATTCTTTTTTTTTTTTTTTTTTACCCTTATCGAGGTTTGGGCTTTTGGGGATTTAGATTTACTACTCGAGTGCGATATGACACCCTGTACTGTGCTACTCGAGCTCTGTACGAGTACTCGAGCACGGGTACAGTACTGTGCTTGGGCACGTCTGCTTCCTCAAACTTCTCACACGGTATCATACCTTGGTTCTCGCGAGCACAGTACAATACAGTACCTGGTTTGGCCTGTTGGAGATGTATCATCACTTATACAGTACTGTACTGTACCTCACTCTCACCAACCCAACAAACCCATACCGCAGTCTAAACTGACGAAACCCGTTTCCACGTCGAGAGGTCAGGATAAGGCAGATACTCGACTATCTTTCCACACACACGCGCACACACGCTCTCCCCACTCAACCGAGCAAAGTCTACGCCACACCTTCTTCCGACGACCCCTCTGCGGCGAGAACTGGTTTCACCAACTTATGCTGTACTGGAGTATGATACTCGTGCTTGCACCGATACATAAAAAAAACCATATGCGAGCTAAAAAGCTCGACGGCGCGACACCGTAACTAATTTCATCAATGATACCGGTAATACTGGCACGGTGACATCTCCCGTAGCTATTGTAAGCCCGGGGCGTTTCACACCAGTAAGGTACCGTACTGTACAGCACAGTGTAACTTGTACTCGTACAAGAAGTATACGAGAAAAACTTTCAAGCACAATTTATCTGGAAAAAGGGGCATATACTATACAGTACTGTAGTGTATAGCATTTACGCTAACCACAATCTATATAAATTTACAAGATTCCGCCGGGCGCTTGAAGGAAAAAAAAAAAAAAAAAAAAAAAAGTTCGGATACTATACCGCGATTGCGCTGTACTCGAGTACGAGTTTAGAAAAGAAGACTGCGATGAAGAAACTATTATATCGTGCTCCCGCGCTAACCATAGCCCCCCCCTTGGAAACTTGAGCACAGTGTGATGGCGCACAGTACAGTAGACTACCGGTATTTCTCTCCATGGGTGATGATACAACGTAGCGGCGCTTTTATCGAACTTGACGGTGGAGAGGAATAAGTTGAGATACTCGTACTGTACAATAGAGGGTAAATTATTGGTCTATCCCATAACCCGTTAAGACATTCCGGTCCGTTTTAAAATCTGGAACACTAGCCTATTAAGGGATAGTGTTGAAGGTATTGTCAACCTCAGCTCATCCAAGAAGAACACTCGTGGGAGAGGAGAACCTTCAGGTTCAGATCAAAATGCCACCCAAGTGGAAGGTTCTCAGCGATTTACCAACCAATAATACCTGTTCAGCAAATACTCCAACTTACCAAGAAAGTGTGAAGCCTTTGAAGAGACAATGCCGGCGGCACAAAAAGGAATCTGCAATAAGATCAAGTTTGGAATTGAAGCAAGCCGCCAGCCAGCATGCAGCTTCAAGTGCTACTGGTATTCTACAAGAGAAAAAGCCACAAATAAAGCAGCGAGCTCAAGCCGAGTCACTCCCACTGCCTACCCAATTTCAGCCGTTCAATTCTCCATATCCAGAACATAGTTCAAAGGTAGAAATCCAGCTCAGAATCTATACAGATCATCGTAGAGGTAAAGGACTAACATAGGAAGCAGGCTTTATTGCCAACAGAGCTTACGGATGAGCCATATGCATTATTTGCACTTTTTTTTACTGATGAGATCTTCGCGGAACTGGCTCTGAATACAAACAAGTATGCAGAGATGAAGAAAAAGGTTCAGGGAAGAGGAACCCATGGAAGAAAGACAGAGTCCGTATGAGAGTCTGTTTGTGTGAAAGCAGACTTGTGATCTCGCAAATAGACTCCAACCTCTGCAAGTGAACTGAAGATTTGGCTCGGTTTGACCATTAAGATCAGCATTCACTGAGAGTCCTCAATAGTTCATCATTGGTCTAAGGAAGGAAGAAATTGTTGGAGAAAGACCTCGATACGACCCATATTGCGTCAAAGACATCTGTCATGTCCTTACCGGTACAAATTTCCAAAAAATTGCATGTCTCTTGTGAGATACGAGCAACTCAAGTGCTACTTCCATGTATCTGATCCGACGATTGAGCTTGACCAAAAGCAGTGGTATAGGAAGCTTAGCCCATTAGCAGATCAGCTAAAGGAAAGCTATTGAAGATACTTTCTTCCTGGAACTAAGGTTGTGATTGATGAAATGATAGTGAGGTTCTGTGGCCGGAGTTCCCATATGGTAAAGGTTAAGAATAAGCTAATCAAGCAAGAGTACAAGATATTTGCCCTTTGCTCTCATGGCTATACATATGGATTTCAATGGTACTCTATCTCGCAAGGCATTGCAGAATTAGTCAAGTTGCCTAACTTGATACCGACAGCCTCTGGGGTCTATCAGCTGGCAAAGCTACTTTCAGTGGGAAAGAGGTGGAATTTAGTATTGGATAATTACTTTACCAATATACCGCTATTTGAAGAGTTATTAAAGATTGGAATTGGGGCAGCAGGTACTACCCAGGTTGATACTCAAGGCTTTCCTATTTGCTTAAAGATTGAGAAATCTGCAGCAAAAAAGGTTCTCCCATGGGGATACTTAAGTGGAGCTGTGGTAGAAAATACCTGCTGCTTAGTCTGGCAGGATAACAATTCTGTTTTGTTCATGACAACCTATCATGACATTACAAGCACAGTAGACAGAATGTGTCGATGGCCAAAGAAAACGAGCTCGAATGCACATATGGTTCGGAGGACCTTTTGTGATGAATCTCGAAAGCTCCTTCCGATTCCTACCTTTATTCATGACTACAACTATCATATGGGTAATGTCGACATCGCAGATCAACTTCGGAGCTATTACTGTACTCAGCAGAAGGCTTCCCGCAATTGGTATCCATTGTTTTATTAGCTTCTAGATACCTCTATTGTGAATACCTATTGTTTACTGAAAACCCACTATCCTCACCTTAAGGGCAAAAGTCAACACTACCTATTCCCAACGAGATTAGCTAATAAGCTAATCAATATTTGCTTAACTGAGCGTTCGGAATCATTTGAGCTTGCAGAGTCTGAGCTGCCTGGCCCCCCTCCCAGAAATAGTGTCCCCGGTCAACACTACCACTCTATACCTTTCTCTCCTCTTCCAGATACCCATATATGTTCACCTTCCGCTCCCTGCCCAGTACTACCACCACCTTCTCACTACAATCATGCTAGCTCTAAGCGCATACTTTATATTTCTACCTACTCAAAGCCTCCTGAACCAGTACACTTCCCTCCTCCCTCTGCCCACTCGTATGAGCAACAGCCAACTCGGACCTGGTATGTTTTATGTCAATGGAGAAAGGTAACTGGAGGTAGCTTAAATGTTCAGTCAGTAAATACATGTTGTAGAGAATGTAACCTTTCCTTATGCCACAAGTGTTTTACTTTATTTCACTGTAAATAGTATCTTCTATTTTATATCAGGTGTCTTTGCACCTTACGCGAATAGGCTAGTGTTCCAGATTTAAAAACGGACCGGAATGTCTTAACGGGTTATGGGATAGAAGGAATTGTAGTAATACCGGCACTGCACGACTGCTGATCGGTGCATGAAGAACTCGCCTCCTTTTTTTGCTTTTTCTTTTTTTCTTTTTGAGCCCTATGATCCACTTTTCGAATACCTGTGCTCGAGTACTCGAGTATATACGGTAGCGCGATGGAATGTGGGGGGGTGATACAAGTATTCCGCACTGTATTATACTATTGTCCGCTTACTTGGTGCTACACAACGATCCCTCTTCCGAACTCGCAGAACCTGTCCGGTTCAAGTCTACCTACCAGGCACCAAGTGCGCAAGTATCCTACTCTAGTACGAAAAAAAAAAGTAAATTTAACTCGACGAATCACCCCCCCGTCCCACTCTTCTCTTTCTTAAAAAGAGGAACAGACAGAGTGTTGGGGATCTTCTATCATACCTTGGTAGGAATATATTAACACACCGTCAGTCGTGTACAGTACTGTAATAGGGAAAGCCGGTGATGAAAAACGATAGTACAAGTACTGTACAGTGCAGTTACAGTACACCGCTCTACCAAAATAACTTGCCGCTATCATACAGAAATCATACCCCGGCCTCTCCATCGAGGAAATGAAAAGCTCGTGTTTTTTTTTTCTCTAAAAGAGTCGATCGCTTTTTACGAATCACAATTACCCCCTACCGGTACGAGTACAGTACAGTACTGTACTGTACTGTATCCTACTTTTTGTCTCTTTATACTCCCGACCCCATGTTCACCCGCCCAACGCACTCCATGGAAAAACGGGATATCGCTCTGGAATCGGGAAGGTTGTGCTCTTACAACCTTTCTGTTCTACATGTTGGTATGATGATATCGTGCCATACTAACTTTACTTGTTGAGTGGAAGATATGTACCCGCTAATATCGTGGATAGATGGATACGAGATGCGGGCTGTTTTATTAAAATTTATTCGTTTATTTATTTATTTATTTATATCGAGGCGATAAAGGTGCTTCGGCGGATGCATATCCGGTAGCATAGAGCATCATTACTTTCCTGCTTGAAACATAATAATAATAATAATAATAATTCAGTATGTATGCGAGGTGCTTCGTATATATATATATATGATATAATTAAAACAATCTTTATCCCTAAGCGCACTCACTACTTATACTGCACTGTACTGTACTGTACACTTGTAATTGGAGCAACAGCCAGATACGAGATCGTCGATACCCACGGTTCGATACTTTTACGATACCATGTCCCTACCACATCACGAGCAATTAAATTTATAGCTCCACAACTACGACGCAACGGAGCGCAACTCATGGCGAAACTGCCATAGTCGGATACACAGCTCTCGTACCCCCACCACCATACCACGAGAAACATCAGACTATGATACTCTCGAGTGAGTGAGTGAGTGGGATTGGTCCCCACATTACCACGCTGTTCAAGTCACGGGTGATCCTATAATACTGACCACACACACACACACACTCTCTCTCTCTCTCCCCCTTCCGTCGTAAGATAACATACGAAGTTTCTTCCACTGTGTGATATAGACAAACTCAGGAACCCGTTGGTGAGGGTGGTATGATGAACTCCCCTAACTTCGACAAGGCGGGATGGTAGTCAGCCGTTCCACGCGGATATCGACAGGAAAGAGGGTGAGAGAGAGTGCGAACGGACGGCTGCCGTGGAATCGAATGTTTTTGGTTCGTTACTTACCCCTGATGGAAATGGAAACGGGTGCTGGCCTGCCGTGCGAGTATCGTTCTGCTTCTTGTTTGCGTTTACTGCTGGTGATATATCGTGCTCTCGTTTATCCAGGCCTGGCCGAGTCTAGCCCGGTCCAGTCTGGCGTGGCCTGACCGTCCTGTTCGCAGGTCTGCACTGCTGTGGGGGGGGGGGCGGTAGGGTAGGGTAAAGGTGGGATGGGTGACTACAGTAAGTATGATACAGTCGCAGTGGTCTTCCAAGTCGCAGTTACACTGCGAGGGAATTGTGAATACGAGCGCCTGTCGTGAGCCTGTGACGGGCTGATGGCCCTGTTATGGTGGATGGCTCTTCTATCGTGGTTGGACTATGCTACAGTGGTTCGATGGATGGATGGGGGAGATGGACTTGTGTTTAGTGGGGACTGGTCGGTAATGATAATAGGGACATGTCTTTATCGTGCAAATTTTACTTCCAATAGACTATGGACGAGAAGCAAAGAAAAAACATATCCATCGTGACTGACAATCTAATAATAATTGTCACCTTTACCGCTCCTTCTCAGGGCCCCTGCGAAATAATTATCCTTCATTCATCAGATGCTCTTCCCATAGAAGAAAAAAAAAGCCAAGAAATCAATACGAGGCAGGGTTGAATAACTTTATTTACAACGAGGGTTGCCCATTCCCAGGAGGTGGTAGGGTAGTAGTATCACTCGGAGCGGACTTCCCGCCCAAAGATATTAAGCGCCCACACCGACTGTTGTCGACGCCGAGAGCCCAGGAGTGGCTTGATTAACTTGGGAAACGAGGGAGATGGTGCCTTTTACTGCCTCCTCTTCTGCTTCCGCTTTCTCGGCTTTGTATTTTTCTAGGACTAGATTTCTGACTAGCTGTTGGTAATCTAAGCGGACAAGCTGGTGTTAGTCATCCGCTTGGTGACTGCCAAGATAGAGTATGATAGACACACATATCACCCCGCTCTCCTTCTCAGGGTTCAGCACCCCTTCTACATACACACCTCTCTGGAGATTTCGTTGAGCAGCAACGCACAACTCGTAATCTTCTAGGGCAACTTGTCGCACAAACTTGAAATACTCCTCAAAGGCTTCGTCTTCTCCATTGTAGTAGTAGTCGAACTCCATTCTTGAGATGGTGGGGTCCGAAGTTGGGCATGTGCGGAATGAGGACATGCCACCGCCGTAGACCTGAGGTGTGTTAGATCGGCGGTCCACCGGATAGGTTGGGGACTTACGTTTAGTGTGCAGATTGGGAAGAAGTACAAGAAGAGTCCATCGTCAGGCTTTCACAAGTGCAAGTTAGCGGTGAGCCCTAATGTTCTTTGGGCGACAGGGGCGTAGGGGTGTGCACCTTCTTGGGGTCGGCAATGTGTCTGCAAAAGTTACCATGGTTCTGAATCGAGTAGAAAGTAGGCGGATAGCGTTTGCTAAAGGAAGGATGGGCGTACTGGCAATGGAGACACTCTTGGTAGCCGTCTATCCTGTGTTAGGCTGTTAGTTGACCAGAACCCATGATCATGATGCGGGAATGTGTACATGGTTTTCCAGTTGAAACCACCTTCATAGGAAATGCTCCGGCGATACTTTAATTTGGTGAAATTTACTTTTGATAAAAGAGGTTCGAGATCTGGAAAGAATTCTTCGAATGGTAGTGAATCCGATGACAGGGCGATGAAGACTAGGCCGCTTGAAGTGAAATGCACTTGAATAGAGCTGTCCTGTGGGCCGGTATTGCTCGAACATGCTGGGTTACTACTGGCTGTACTTTTTGTGAAGACATGGGACACTCACATCGTAGTCTCGGTGTACTTCTATCCCATCGGTTCCCCATTCAGTACCCTCAGGGCTTGTGTTGACAACGTAGAATTTGACCTGGGCGATTTCGTAGTACACTCTTTCACCCCGCTTTACGAATCGTGTGACAGGTCCTACAAAATGCCATGCCTTTACCAAGAGATTTGAATTGTTAGTACAATTCTGGTGCGAAGGGATGTTAGGAGGAGGGGGGGGGATGGGACTGTTTCACACATTCAGAAATATCGCCCTTCTTTCTAATTGATAGAGGGGGGCACTTTGGAACCAGGAAGCCGGTAAGGTCGTAGTAGCGGCCATTTTTGAGGATACAGAATAGGGTTTTTAAGACTAAGATGTGTAACATGATAGTACAACACAACACGAGAAAGGGGAGTCCCCTTTATACAAGAAACATTTTCATACACCGGTGATAATCCATAAGCTTCGTGGGCACCACCAGTTGGGGCAGTAACATGCGTGACCTGAAATAGAGAGATGAGTTTCTTTTAATCATCACTCGTTCTCTCTTATCAGGGCAATGGACCAATAGATAGACTCGCCGAACCGGCTAACCATTGCGGACCATATGCAGCAAAACATTGCGGACAGCTGCATGCAGCAGCTCACCTATCAGGTGTCAGTGCCGGGCCGTTGGCGGATCCTTTCCTTTGCATGCGCTATCACATATCCAAGTGGACTCGCAGGTGAAGAGGAATTCTGACAAAAGTAGGAAAAAAAGCCTTCCCAGTGAATTCATTCAAGTTCGCGGCTTGCCGGCGGAAAATGAAGTATCGACGTGTGGTTCAAGGTGCTCTTTCTGTCGAAATGTTGAGGCAGCAAACCCCCCCGTATTGGTGGCGCGCTTCGGAGAAGTATCGGATCCTGATAATGCCCCGAACTATGCGCACATGACTATGGGGTGAGATCGAGTTCACTAGCGAATCGAGAGAAGCCCAGGGCAATTTAAACTCAAAAAAAGTGTCTCAATACTTTGCGAGTTGTGTTCAGAACTCTTGTAGCCTAAGCTTGCATAACTACCATCTATTCCAATCGCGAACTTGATCATGTCTTCTTGAGGGTATGTCTGTAGCCAAATTAGCACGACTGGTTGGGCGTCTCGGGGCATCGGATAGTCAAATCACACTTTGTGACTCCATACACGACTTGTTTGTGGAGCTCTAATCAATCATCAACTTTTAATTCACCAATCTCAGCCAGAGTTCTAAGGATGCTGCATTAGCTTCTTAAAAAAAAGACCTATACAATAAAATCTTCCAGTTTTTGACCTCCGGGCCTCTTTTTTCTAAGGGTTCTTTTTTCTTCATCGCCGGTTCCTTGTCTCCTCGTTCCTTGAAAATCTCCCAGAAGACGAAGCGGGCGACCAGAGAGAAAGCGCAGAAGTAGCATGTAAAGAAACTAGGCACTGGGGAAGCGCCTGGCCAGGAAAAGCCAAACCATATATTATTTGGGATATCGGCATTCCATTCTCACAGCGTACGGGTGGAGAGAGTTTCTGCCATTGAGAAAGAGAATGAGGAAAAAGAAGGTAATCCAACATATGCTGGATATGGTGAGAGGTGAATGAGTGTTTTGTGGCAAATGCCCTCATTACTGCCCCTTGTGCTCGCATGTCTTTCTATCATGAGAGGAAGGTGTGACCTCAGATGATAGGACTTCAGAGCCCACTCATTCTGGGCCGGATGTGTGTTGTGGGAATAATCATGTATGATAGTAAGAAGTTAGCAGTGCTGGAGTTAACAAACTACATGCACCCCACACGTTAGTTAAGCTTATGGTACCATATCTGTAGTTCGGATGAGATATATAATTCCAACCGAGTATAGGGTTAGTAGAGCTGATAACGCTCAAGAGTTGATATCAACGAGATAAGTGCGGTAGGGAGCACACAATATATCGGAACACCAGCGCCCAGGCACCTTTTGGGTGCTTTGGGCGTTTTGTTGATTCGTGCTAAAGCGTATCGAGTTCGCCTCGCAGAATAGACATATCTGTAATACTGACATATGGGGTGTTAAGAAGGCGGAATGATGGTAGCCTAGGTTGAGGTGGTTGGGATAAGGTTGTAAGTTAGGTAATACCTACATATAGCATGCCCATGACATAGAAATGGTAACTTAGAGACTAATATAGACTTTTTTAACTGCGATGGGGATAATTTTGCGTGGATTCTGGACTCCCCCAGATCATTATTAATATATCGGGGCCTATGTCATTCATTGGAAGTATTGATGTTGCTGCCCTCATACCGATATAGGTCACCCAATTCTAGCTCAATATGAAAACTCGGGCAAACGCTGCGTATATCAGAAAGGACCAAATGCTTAGAAATCTTCCAGTAGTGCCTTCAACCAGGCATCCCCTCATTAGGCGGATCCTTCCAGCATCTGGACCCATATTAGTCATGTTTGGGATTACACCCAAGTAGTGTGGTGAATGTTAGGCAGATCAATCCTGCGATTGGGAAATTCTTGAATAATGAGGAAATAAACTTGGCCTCACCGGAGTACCGCACGGCAAAGCAATTTAGTGGAATCGAAAGACCAAGGGCAACTGTAATCTGGATGCCAGGACTCAGATCAGACCAAGCAACCTATTTGGGAATCAGGAAAGCTAAAATCAACATATAAACAAGTGGGGCTACTCACGAGGTCAATACAGACAAACGCCTTAGCCCCACACTATCAATTAATTAGAACTCTGGATCCTTCCGCCTGGTGGTTTGAGAGACCCACCTAATACGTAATCCCGCATCAGGGCTGAGAGCACCGTTCGCCCACTTTTCAATAGAGTGGAAATTCGAGGCTCGGTAGACAGGTGGCCAGGGACACGCCTGAGCAGCGATATGCTCCTAATTCGACTCCCCCCCCCTATCTCAATAGTAGGAATTAGTGATTACCATAAGCCCATACTGAGCCGCGATAGCAAAGAGAAGTGAGCTGACATCACTATTAGAAAAATACTGACCAATACTCGGAAGGAGAGCGAAGTAATACGCAAGAAACACCAACCAAGGTCCAGCCTCAGCGGGAGCATTTTGATCACCTCGAGTTAGCAGCCACTAGATCTGCGGTTGTAGAGTATCTGATCATTGGGCGGTTACTTAGGATATAATTCCGACGAATAGGCCGGTGCCTGTCGAGTCCCCAATTGCTTTAAGCTAAAGGTCAATTCAGCTAATATATGTTCCATTTTATTTAGAGGATAAAAGAAACAAACCTGGAGTTGCCTGCTAGAAAGGCCCCATGTAGCCTTTCCGAACTTGATTGCTTCAGGCAAATCTACTTCGGCGCGCCGGGAATCTATCGCAGTTCCATGATTGAGTGAGGCATGTCTGGCTTCAACGTCTCTCCCCAGTTTCAACGAACCTTTATCTTCTGCAGAATACCCTTCACCGAACATCATTTCTATACTCAAGAATACTGAATGATAAAGTAAGAGCCCTGAAAGTGACCGAAGTGTGAAATATACCCCCCACAACGGAGACGACTTTATAAGAAGCAAGAAAATAGATGCAGGGTTGATAAGATACCCGGTGTCATGAAAAGTTCACCATCTAACCCACTTTTGTTAACTCTTGTATGCAAATAGACCTGAGTCCTCAGGTGGCCACTTGCACGATTACGCAGTACTCCGAGGCATAGGAATATTAGCCTCTAATATATAATCGAGAAGAGTAAGCCCAATAGCGCAGTTTCCGGATCGCTCGCAGACTTTAGGTGAGGATAATCCCCAAAGGCGTTCCTCCCGGATGTGGAAGCAAAGCTGATGGGGAGATCCGGGAAGGGCTCCCGAAACAAAATCCCTGATAGAACTGCTAGCATGAGATAGGTCAACAATGGGGTGGGTGGCAGAGAGACGAATTGGGCAGGCGAGCTCTCGGTATAATATCTGGTAGGGAGCTCCTGGGTGAGCGCGTAGCTTCATAAAACTCGACTGATAAGGGCAGATCTTCTATCGGTTCTGGACAAAAAGTGATACCGGTAAATGTTCTCCAGTAATTTCATAATCCCCACAGAAAGTGGAATGTCTATGGGAATCTGGCGTCAGTTGCCCACTCAACCGCGGTTCTGTTCGGTAGTCTTCTATGGATCAATAGATCAACAGCCACAAACGCATGGGGTAGGTACCAGTACATATCATAGGTTGACGGGATATCATTTGGAGATGGCGTGCCGTGCCTGGAGATACGTTATTCCGTCTCGGAAAATCCAAAGCAGGGGCCCATGCACCCACGCCACGCGAAACCCCAATCTTCACTTTCAACATCTCGTCTCTGTTTGCCATTACTTGCCCCTACCGGTATTCATAAATATCCTCCTGTTCTCCAGTAAGCAAACCTATCCCTTCCGAATATGAAGCACCTGACCACTACCGAGAGCTTTAAATACGACCCACTATCCAGAGGATTTGCCTCCGGGGGGGCATGTTTCATAGTATGCTTCCGAGTGCCCTGGGAGTTATCTGAGCTGATTTCATTTTCAGGTGGGTAGTTATCCCAGTTGGTGGTCTTTATCGTCATATCGGTAGGGGTGATGGCTGATTCGGGTTGGGAGGTTGTGGCATGCGTCAAGAGAACCCGGATTCGCAAGTCGGGCTTACTTGCCGCTATCTCCCATCATAAACCTCTAATCTCTGGCGCCATTAACTTCTTGAGAAATTCTGATTGCTCGGTATCAGCTGAGTTCATCACGATGTGAGCATCTCTCTAGGGTCCACGGGGCCCTTGGCGTCGTTTGGCACCGCTGGGAGACGAGAGGGTGTTTTGCAACTATTCTCTCAAACACGTTGTCTGATATGACAGGAGGGAATAGTGCCAAAGCTCTTCGGGTGTACTCCTTTTAGGATCCTGATGCCATACCAATGTAAGTTAGGGCATCGACGTGTACTATATCCCTCCAGTGGCAGGATCAGACAGGTCCTGCTCGAGTACTTGCGCCTGGGAACCATAGAATCGACTCTCATTCCCAGAGCCCAGAGAAGGCCCTCAGCCTCCTAGCGTTTCACCTCTTCCGCCCACCGAATATAGCTTTGGGGGAATCCATAAAGATAGCGTTTAGGACCGTAGTCCCCATTTTCTTTCCAAACTATCTACTATCTTAGGGGACGGCGAGGACCCTCATCGGCAAGCACACCGCGCCTGTGGTAAAAAGGAGCTCTAAAACCACCAAAATACCTCAGCAGTACCTCAACAGCATCTCAAATCTCAGGAAGCTCACCAACCCTATTATAACACAAGGTTCCGAACAATCCAGATAATCAGCACTCGAACTCATCTTCTGCGGCAGAATTTTTGAAGGTCTGGAGTTACATCGGATAACTGGTTCCCTCTCTGCGATATCTGAGGATTTTGGTTTTGATAATGGGCGAGTGCGGTGAACGGGGGGGGCGGCCGTTGCGGGAAAGGTAAGGTTCTCAAAAACAACTAACTTGTTAAATCTGAACTATCCGCACGGTTTCTCACCTAGCTTGGCGCCGATTCGCCCGAATAAACCGTGGCCATCACCGGCACACTGGCGCTTTTTTGGGCTTCAGTTTGCAACCTCTCTCATTGCATTGGCCCTGCGGGATCAAAAGACAATTTGCTCTGGGATTAGGAGCCGGGGGAGAGGATGAAATAAAGCTACAACCTTCCCTGATACGGCGGCTCGGGATAGGAGCATTCAAACCCAGCAGGGCTGAACTGGGAAATCGTTACCGTTTCTCCCCGCACCCAAATCTGCATGTCTACTTTTTCGATCGGAAAAGATCAAATTTCGCACTCACATACATATTATGCGCATGCAAAGGAATGCCCTATCCAAGCAGGCTCCCCAGCTTGTGTTTGTGGCAATGGGTTGGACTCGTTCATATTGAGTGGGTTTGCAATTTGAACTGCGGTTGAACACTCATCCTTGCTTCGGCATGTTTGATAACATTATCTCTCAACTAACAACTAGTTATGTCGTCCACATCAGATGCGCAGGAATTCGGATATCCAGGGTATCGGTTACACGCAGGCGATTGAGGACGCTCAGCAGCAGGTCCCGGATTTACTATCCGTTGCTTAAAGGCTTGGGAAAGCTAGCGTGTGGATGGAGGATATCGATACTTGTGATATACGAAGAGCTCAAATTGGTGGCACAAGCAGGCCAAGGACACTTGAAACATATCAGTTCTGCCCCTCGAATCGTCCCTACCCCTTAGGTGCTTACTATTACTTCCCATCAGTTCACTCCGGCCCTGTTAAAGTTGGATCGATTCGCTCGGCCTCATACCAGTTTCAACCTTTGCTAGACCTGCCACACATCTCATCGAAGTCTTTTCAAGCTATCCTTTACCAGTACCTCTCCCAAACCTTGATGTCTCCCCCTCATCTTCTGCTCTTGTTCTATATGTGTTTATACAACTGTTATGGTGTTAGGATCTAATTCTTTGAAGATAGACCACTAATTTCGCGGCGGCTTGCTAATCTTGTAGGACCATTTACTCAAAGTTTTCGAAATTTCGCTGACCGGTAGGCATCGCAATCGGATTTGATCATCCAGCAAAATCTGCCGAGGGAGAATTAAGAATTATCTTATTCACCGTTGTTTTTTCAATACACGAAAGATATTGAATCCCAGAGACTCCACATCAGAATTTGATATCCAACACCACGGCGGGTGACCGAGGAGACAGTGCTAACACTCGAATAATCGAAGCATGAAGCAAGGAGCTGAGTCTCGCACAAAGGGCCCAAATGAAGGGGCTTCGCAGCCTCCATTTATCAAGACATTTCAGAGCGGTTTCATGCTGTTAGCATCTTCTCCGGAGCTCAGCGACCCAAGATACAACTATCTATCTCAGGGGATAGAACATCTGGTCGCCACCGATTGCAAACATATGAATTGCTACGGCACTCATCTCTCTAAAGAGGCTTATACTTAGATCCTACCTAACTAGAATTACATGCTGGCTTCCACCGACCTACTATCACTCAAATGGGAACCGCCGCGATGACCGCCCATGTACTGGGATACGCTCGACGTGTGAATACTTTAGCACGTTTAAACACCTTGGACTGAATTACTACGCTGCGTCACTCGAATACTTTAATAAGCGCGAGCACTTGTTTTCTCCACATCATCCGAAGTAGCGCCTGGCCATAAACACCGTCCAACACCAAGAAATATACGGGGTATTCCGATCGGACCTAAGCCACTCCTGCAGAATTCATGCATCTGCTAGAGTGCTCCCAATTGCCAACAGATTTGCTATGGCGGAATTTAAGTCGGCGAATTTGAGGCCGCTTTGCTTCGAGCCCGTACCAGATTGCTTGAAAAGTCTTAAGCTAATCATGATATCGGACCATGCCGCTTGCTAGTGCTAATGTGAAGTTTGTCAAAGTCCGCGGCACAACGCCATGATCCCCAAACGGCAGTGCGGCCCAGTCAACAAAATCCCACGATCTCGGTGAAAGACCTTGACGTGGACACCCTCACTCATTGGGTGCTCCAGAACGGAAGTACTGCCTCCAGCCCTGCGCGATGATGGATTTTGGACGCCAGTGTTTCGAAAGTCGGAGTCAGACTGAGCGATCAACTGTGCATGTCACCTTTCTGCAACAGCTTTTTTTGAAGCTTAATTCATAAGCAAAAGAGCGTACCGCAGGCATGATATTAGGGAGTTACTAGCGAGCTCCCTAGGATCCAACCGTTCCTCGAGCAAATTACAAAGATTATTGACACCGCCGACACTTTAATCGATAAGAAAAAAGCTTCAGTACGATACCCTTGACATGGGATCCTAGATGCCTGGCAACTTATTTTCGTCAAGCACCAGCAATGCCACTACCAGCCGAAGTTTTTACCCCTCACAAGTCCCCAGCCAAAAGCTGGCAGGGACCATTGCCAAGTACGGCAATTCGTGTGGCTCCCCTAGTTGACACGTTGACCAACGAAACAAGCGCACTAGGGTTGGCCACTGCCAGAACTCCCGGGATTGATTCTGAGACAACCAGAAGTGTGGGGTCTTTTGGACTCCACGTCTTTCAACACTCCTGATTGCTGTTTTTTTCTTTTTTTTCTTTCGGGACCAACAGAAGGGCTATTCTATCTCTCCAGATCCAATATGAAAACACCATAGGTTGCTTAGCGACGAAAGTAAAACATCTCTTTTATGGAACCCTTGTGTTCGATGCTACTATTGCTCAAGCTAATCCCTATTATTATCATGGCCTCGAGAAACCTCCTGAGGCGTTTCCGTTCCGTAGGCGCGGGAGGGCAGTTGGATTTGATTACGCCAATGCAGCGACCCCCAGCAAGAATGCAATTATCCCACGCCTTGAACACGTTGTTCCTTGTCAACGACTGCAATCTCTTCTCGTTTTCGACGCTCCCGCGAGCCATCTCGGGCCCGCTCTCGCAATGGAATTAGAGGTTTCCCCTGCATTGTTGGCAAGCACTAAGGTGCAGCTGGTTTTGCTCGTGCATACGAGCACTGCGAGTTTGGACCAGCGCATAATGTGCAATGTGCAAGGTGGGTTGATTTCCCTTCTCTTATTCTTTGAGCTTAGGTCGCCCTAGTACCTATTCAAAAGGCTTGCAGAATTGAATCCGCTGTCAACCTCTTTCTAGGTCGGTGAGGGATGCATGGAGTTTCATTCGTCATCTTAGTACTTCCCCATCCGTGAGGTTCCTCTCCGATTGCTCGGGGGTCCTCGCTTGCCTTGTGGCTCTGCCGCACCGTTTTCATATTGGCCGTTTTTGTTTGCCAGGGCGCTCGGGGGGCTGATGGTCAAGGCTGCAAAGAAAAAAACAAAGCCGGACCAAAGGGGGATGAAGGTGTGACTGTATCTATGTGACCCAGCTTTAGCAGTGGTCAAATCTGTTATAAAATTATCGTGTGCTCGCCCCAGACGGCCTATCTGCTTTCGTTTGAATCCAGAGTGATCATTGCGTTTCTACTTCCCGTGTCTGCGCATCCAATTCCGTTTATACCCAAGGATTCACACCCATCCCTTCGTCATTCTGCCTCCCATTTGCTTAGTCCACGTATTCCCCCATCCTCAGTACCCTTCTTTTGCCCCAAGTTGAAACTAGATATTGATTTTTCGGGCTGAACACCTCAGATATCCTCCACGTCAACACAATTCCTATTGCGAGAAGTATTCAAAAGAGTCCCCTTTCCTGATACCCAAACATTTCTTTAAGTTACTGCGTCTCGACTCCCATTTCATCATTCCGTAGTTCAATCAACTCACCTTGCCAGCCAAGGAGTACTGATAATAGGTCGAGCACAAACCTCCAAAGTCCTAACAAGGCATACCAACATCTCACATTCTTTCATAAAGCATATTTATTGATTCAATTCCATCAAACTCAATCACAATGGCAACCCGACACTCCTGGCTGGTCACACCAATGCTTTTCTTTCTCCTTCTTTGGGCCACCCCTTCGGCAGCGCACATGTCCATGTCGGAGCCCCCGCCGATCAATTATAAAACCAACCCAAACTACAATTCTGCCAAGGGCGACTTCGATTACAGCGCTCCTTTATCGCCTTCCGGGTCAAATTACCCATGTAAAGGGCACCTTAAAGATTTGGATGCGCCAGAGGGCAGACCTGTGAGAACTTATGCACAGGGCGGAACCTATAACATGGTGTGCGTATTAATCGAGGCCCTGGTATATCCCAATCTCCTCAAATGGGCACTGACATGACTTCATAATTCCAGTATCTCTGGCTCAGCTGTGCATGGTGGTAAGTAAAAAAAAAAATTAAAAAAAATTAAAAAAAATACCCAAACCAGAGAATTAGTTAAAGGAAGAGGGCTCACCAATCGCTGTATCCGGAGCAGGTGGATCATGTCAATGCGCCCTCTCCTATGATAAGGGTAAGACCTTCACGGTCATAAAATCCTTCGTAGGAAATTGTCCCCACGCAACACCCGGCGGCGACCAAACATTCAAATTCACAATTCCCAAAGATGCGCCATCTGGCAATGCCGTCTTCGCCTGGTAATTATGTGACGCGCATCACCGGAAGAAGAAAAGGCACAAAAGGCTCACGAGATATGTCAGGACCTGGTTCAACAACATCGGAAATCGAGAGATGTACATGAACTGCGCATCGGTCACAATCGGCGGCACAAAAAAAAGCAGAGCGGTGGCCAAGAGAGCCTTTAGCGGTCCCGAGGTATTCAAAGCGAATATCGGCAACGGATGTACGACCCCAGCGGGAACGGATGTGACCTTTCCTAATCCCGGACCGAATATTGAGTATGGAGGAAACGCTGGCGCCAGGGCTCCGCCCACCGGTAATTGTCAAGGTGGAAATTCCGGCGCCGGTGGGGGCAGTGGAAGTGGAAGCGGGAGTGGCAGCGGGAGTGGAACCGGAACTGGAACTGGAACCGGCACAAGTGGTGGTAGTGGAAGCGGTAGTTCCAGCGGCACCGGCACAGCCGGGGGCGACACCAGCGGCGCTGGAACAGGTACCACGGGGGAGGGAACACAGGGTAGTGGAAATAGAGGAGGTGAGGCTTCCGTAACTTTCATTTCGTCTTCCCGGCGCGGGGCGACGGGCACTGCCACCCGCCGTGCTTCATCCAGCGCTGCAAAGAAGAGCAGTAAAACGGTTGCAAGACCCCAGTCCTTCACTTCGCTCGATACCCCCGTCCACACTGGCGGCGGTGGAGCTGGAGGGGAGGTGGTGGTGAGCACGGTCAACCCCGCCACCCAGACGGGAGATGGAGCTGTTGAAACTAACATAGCGGGGGGCGATTCAGGACCTAGCAGTGTGCAGGATACTCAAGGGTGCGCTTATTGGAGATCTCAGGGTTATGTTTGCAGTGGGGCTTCCAAATCTCTAATTGGGAGGAGGGAAGTATTGCAGATGTTAGGAGGAGTCTTGTTGGTTTTGGCTATTTCCGGACTGTGAGAGGGATCAGAGTGGAGGATGCACAGCAAGAAAGAGGAACACACCCCGCATGTGTACCCTTTCTGGATGCCTTCTCCCGCTTTACATATTTTCTTTTGTTTGGCACATATCATACTAGAGAAAAGAAAAGAAAAGAAAGCATAATGGTTGGATTGGAGAGGGGAGGAGGGAAGTGGAGAAAGCTAGATGATTGGACTGGTACTCGTACATAGCTAGATGGTTGAGCTGGTCTCGATTTCCTTTTTTTTGCATTGGGGGCTTACTGTTTACAGGATGGGCATGGCGTTACGGTTTTCAGGTCCCTTCATTCTCACTTATCATCATTTCCCAACTACAATTATCATACACACCATCATACCATGTCTTTTCTTCTTTCTCTATTAGCTCTGCTGTATATTTTTTCCTATGTTTTTCTCCTTTCTTTCTTTCTCTCTTTTTTTTTTCCCTTACTAAAAATTGTAAGATAATATTATTGTCTACTTCACACCCTCAATAAGGTTGGTTAAGTGGGGCATCATAGCGGTAAATTATTGTGAAACTATGAAAATTCTCCTACCTTCCTAAAACACGTGATTTGAGTTTTTGCCCCGGTAAAACAAGCTTCTCCCCCCCCGTAACCCGCATGATCGGGTACCAAGCGACGACGACGACGACGACGACGACGACGACGACGACACACTCGTATATGATACAGGGTGCTTTAATGTAATCAGCGAGAGGGACTCACCTTGTCACATTTATTTGTCATTGCAATTTCCAGAAATCCTTACCCATCAATGGATGCATAGCATGAAGCGTTGAGATGATCTACGTTGGTCACCGAACTCGAGTCTACAATCTTCAGACTTGATCAAGTTGGCTTGGTCTCGTTCACAGGTGGTCACTCTCGAATAATGAACAGATACGAGTACTGTACTGTACTTGGTCTAGATGAGGCTCACTGGAACATTTTACCCCACACCAACAAAAGTGTACTTGTATGAAATCTCATCTCGCAGGATGCCTCGATAGATGAAGGGGCAAGAAAAAAAAAACAAAAAAAACATAATAATATTATTATTGTATTGTACAGTACAGTACTGTACCTCAGGCGACTTCCATACTTACTTGTATGATGATGATGTTCCGGGTTATTTTAACCGTGACGCAGGCACGAAAGCATTATACCGGTATTGTAGCACACAGCGCCTATATTATAGCAAAACTCGCGAAACAACTTACACATGCAACCTCCTTGTTTCAGAAGAGATCCAGACATCTCTCACACCCCTAATAAACAATAAACCGGTAATATAAAGTAGCCAGCTTACCTTCCCCTTCCCCTCGAGCACAGTCAGTTTATATACAGATTTCATCCCCCCCCCCCCTCCATCCAAAAGTCGAAAGGAGAAATAAGGCCGGCTCCATCCTCGCTGTTAGAAGACATATACATAAAATACTAATCCGCAGCAGCATACCGGTATCATACAAACGGGAAACGGAAAAGAAAAAAAAAAAGAAAAAAAATATATCGAGCTTGCGCCTTCTTTGTACGCCGAAAAAAAACTTCTGCCAAAATGGCTATTCGAACGACTGTTCGAACAGCTACATTATCCCGCTCGTCGAGCACTCCCTCCTTCTCCTCAAAGCCCACCCCAGTGCCGGGCATTTCACGGAACGGGACGACGTACAGTCTAACCCCGCGCTCTGCCACCACAACATCCAGTTCTTCATCCAGCAGCGGCGGCAGCGGTGGTGGTGGTGGTGGTGGTGGGAGTTTAAGTGCCTCAGCGACATTCACTTACCACGCCCCAACCGCGATAATACCCTCCGCCTACGAGCCCCCGCAGACAACCACCCCGGCCACCGCGCGGAAAGCCGAGGAGAGCATCGCGGCGGTGGAGGACACGAAGCCGGACAAGTCCAGACGCTTCCTCTCGACGAAGCTGTGGTTCAGCGGTTCCCATTACGATGGCGAGAGCACCACCTTCACCTTCACCTCCTCCAACAGCACCTGGGGAACGCTGTTCAATTCGCTGACGCTGGGGCTGTCGGCGCCGCTGTGCAGGGTTTACTTTGTCGAGCTGCTATTCGAAGGAAGGAGGGTGGAGGGGAAAGAGGAGGTCAGGGCTTTCCTGGAAGAGCTGAGATTCGTGCAGTGGGGCCAGCCGACCAGTGGTGAGGGGTTGATAAGGTGGCTGGAGAGGCAGGTGGTGTACGAGAAGAGGAGGTTCGGCTTCGAGAAACTTCAGGGGAACAGCTTTGCCGTTTACCTCCTCACGCTGCCGAGGTTGGGCGGGAGTGATCCGGATACGTACCCGCTCAGGAAGATGGCCGAGCAGAGGTATCGGGTGCTGGATTGTGTGGATAATATTGTGATGCTGGGTGGGAGGGTATGCGCTTCCTCTACTGCTACTACACTTACTGCTGCCAGTTCTTGGGAGGATGCCTGGAAACTAATTGGGGTCTTCTAGTTCCATAATAGCGTTTGGTCACTGTTCAAGTAGTGGGTCTGGCCCCCACAGCTGCTGGTAGGAATGGTGTGGCATACAGCCGGTTTACGACTTTTTCTATCATAATGTTATCTCATTGGGCGGTGTTCCGTGCGCCGCATGCGAGCGATTAATTCCTATTCTCACCTTCTCCCCCTCCAAGCATCACCCGTACAAGTACGAGTAGTAAATTAATCTTGAAAGAACAATAAAAAAAAACAAAGACGTCCCCGGCTTCCCCCCGTAGCCAATCATACCCTGTCACTCTCCACACAACGGCGACCCACAGTGCGTTGTTCAACCCCATACCGCACAGGATCTCACCACACCATACCGGTATCTCTTCTAGAAGAAGTATACTTCGTGCACCGCCCCCCCCAAACAAATCCCAATAAACTGTAATTATCCTTAATTATCATCAGACTTGCTCAATGCGTTTACAGTAGCTATTCAAGACGTTTTATGCGGCCACGTGGACGACATACAGTACCGTACAGTACAGTACATGCACTTGACCAATGCTGCGACAAAGGCCCTTGGCAGGGTCGAGGGGGAGGAGAGGAATCAAGGAGTTGTTTATCATACCAAACGGCTTCTGGAACTCTGGGCGAAGGTTATATAGTGGAGATGAAGGTATGTGGGTAATAGTGTTGAGGGCGACGGATATATTTCTGTATTAGGTTCTTTCGTTTTTACCACTTTTTTTGCCCATAATTATTATTATTGTAGTTATCATATGTTCAAGTGAGCATTTTCGCATAGTATTATACATAGCTGATCACTGTCATTTCTTGTCCTTTGGTTCGGGGGTGGGGGTCTATACTCGCAGTTCCAAAAATACACCTCTGTAAAATTTAACGGCTGGTTCATTGAAGGTGGGGACCGCGATGTTGACAGTGCGGTAGGTAGGTAGGGTTCAAGTTTTTAGCAGCGTACATCCGAAACCAGTCAGAAATGAAGGTGGGTTCTAATGCTATTGGGATTAATGCTGGTTTACCAGCATCTCCAAATCTGAGACGTTTGAGGGCCTGCCGATATTTCGATCCTTCGTGCCTGCCTTCCTTTCAGCTTTGGGGTAATGCGGGTGGGCACAATCCTCATCGTACTCGTACAGTGCCGGTGCGGTGCTCGAAGCTTAGGCATGGTTGTTGTTGTGGGGGGACCTGGAGAGGCTACTCTAGCGTGATAGCCGCAGGGGCTTGGAACAGACACCCCGCCTGGACCATCAATCGCCCGAACAAAGAAAGTTTGACCCAGTTTCTCGTGCTGGTTCGGGGTTAGGGTTGCATACCAAGTGCGCGAACGACACACCGGTATCAGAACTCGAGCACATGTATGATAGTCTACGAGTACGAGTACTTGGCCAGTGAGATCGTGCCTGTAGGTGCAGAGGTCAGGCCTGCGACCACAGTTTTGAAAAGATATCTGTGTATTCGAGTTGCCACCGCACTATTTCTTTTGCAATAATATGGTTGCGACTTGGCCCGGCGCACCCACAGGTCTAATCTCAGCTCAAACACTGACAGTACTTGTACTAGTACCGGTACGGTAAACAAGTGCTTTCCTATATGATGGCACCAATGTCAGCATCTGATAGCGCGCTCACTCCCGGGAGAGCGAAGATCTCCACCACCTCGTGCCCCCCTGCACAGCCCGACGTTTATACTTGAGTAGCTAACTTAAGCTTCTGCTGAGTACCATACCGTACTAACTTTATATCAGTATTTTGTTCCCCACTCTCCTCCATTCGCTACCCATGACAATACACTGTGGGTGGCTACCCAGAGGTCACAGCATACGAAGAGGCTATGATGAAGTTGTGTGATTCTACTGCAATCTCATTGATAACACAGTAAAGCAACACGATAGCATTCTTCAAGAAATTTCTGCCTTCGGGGATATTATAGGGAGAAAGGTTTCACTCTGCTAGCAAACGTCGAATCATCGAGGGGCTAGACAGTACGAGTATCTCCCCCCAGGTCTTGCTGCAGCTGGCCATCTGAGCACAGACCCTTCCATGCTTACAGGCGCCGGGTTGAGTAATCCTAGCCTTCACCCTATTTTTTCCCTCTTTTCAGCAACAATCCTTCCCAATAACACTGGTACTCGAGTACGGCAAACCATCCAAAAATCAACTGATTGGTTTGAGAGAAATTTGACGAGTGAGTATAAGTGACTTTCGCCAAGTTCACTATTTACTGTATGGTACCGGTACCCTTTATGTTCCCTCTTCCTATTCCCTGACGAATGGCCATGGTGCGAGAGGGTTTTTGGCCCACATTTTAGGGTTACAGGGGACTTTATCGGTATGGTCGTTGCGGCTGAAGCTTGGCACTTCTTATCGTGGTTGGGTTAGGCGGGGGAGGCAGAGCTTTTCTTATGGTGGCCTACCGACCGAGAATTCCGCCTCCCAGCCGGCCCGACCGACCAGAGAGCGCGAGGAAAGGGCCGAAATCGCAGGACAGGTAATTAGCTGTGCTCTGTGCTTGCACTGATAATATTGAAGCGCGGAAGCTGTTCAAGGAGCACACAAGTCGTCCACTAGAGATTTTCGTTGGGCCCGACGAGAGTTAATGGTACTTGTACTTTACCTCTAGAAGCACAAAAGGACTTGGATCGCGTGGAGCAACCAATAATCGAGCTATATAGGCACTGTACGGGTACTCAGCCTTACAGGATATGGGAACTCACTCGATTCCTCTGCTTCCCTTTGCCACTTGTTGAAGAGCTGTATCGTTGAAAGGGTAGGCATTCCATGGTAATTAATTGCAACTCCTGTTTGTCTAGACATTTTGCACCCACTGCTTGCCCTTACTTGAGTACTCTATGATACTTTTTGGGTTCCACTATCACAACATGCAGTACGGGTGGACAAGGAAACCTTTTGTCGTACCCACAATTGGGCACTGCTACACAAGAAAGGTGGAAAACTTGAACGACCCCCTGGTCACTGTTGGAGGAGGCTGACTGACCGCCTTTTTGGGTTTCACAGCCCGCCAGTGAATCGAGATTTCCGTGTCTTCGGATTGAGAAAGGTATTGAAAATAATAATTTTGAGAGGGCAATAGGAGCGAAGCAAGTAAATAGCTGTCAGTGAATAGGTCCGGTCGATACAGAGCACCGGGATCTTCTTTCCCGTTCCCCTTTTCTCTAGTGATCCTTATTCATTCTCTTACAACCCCTTCTGTTTAAAAATTTCACTCCTAAAAAAAAACCCCCCCCCCTACGCAAGGCGCTTGGAACTCCTCAGAAACTGGGTCTTCTTGCCTCTTGCTCTCTTTGTGTGTGTCCCTCACAGCCAACACCCTCCACCATCTCCACATCCGTCCACCTCCACCATCACGACCAGCTCCACCCCCTCTTTTCGCCCAGTCCAGCCGCACCACGGCTGAAAAGTCACAGACTCCTATAGTCAACGGCATCTCCTCACTATCTCCTCACTAGATCCGACTCCTCTCCTCGCTATCCTCTCATTGACAACCGTTATTCACCAACTGTTCAACAAACCCCGTTGCAAGCCGAAATTAGCGACCTCGAGTCTCTTCGGCTCCTAACTACTGCTGCATACATCGAGGAATCAAGCCCTCAATTCTTCGTGTTCTATTCCTCCCCCATAGCTTTTTTTTCTTTTTTTCTCTTTTTTCTTCTTCGTTCTGTCACTCCTCCCGCATCACACACGCTCGCTCTTCTTCTGTTGCTTCTTGCCGCTTGCTGTCTCTTGCCCACTCGATACCTTACCGCAAGGCAAAACCCGAATCTTTCAGCCTCACCGAAATCTCCTCACGTCCACCCCTCCTTCCCCTCTCTCCCTCCGTCCCCGATCCTCTGTTTTGCATTCTATAAACCCACAATTCTCCCCCGCATCACATTCTCTTTTTTGAAGTATGAGCAATCAACTCAGCAGCCGTCTAGGACGGTTTACCTTCAATACTAGTAAAAAGAACAACAATAATCCCTCCCCTCCTCCGAACGTTGGTCAACCATCTGGTCCTCCTCCGAACCAACCCGGAATTCCGAGGCCTTCATCGTATCCCCCACCATACGCTCCCCCTCCACAGCATATAGCAGGTAGAGCCTCTAGCCCAATGCCTCCGCCAGGGCCGTATGGACCGGGTCAGATTGGCCCTATTCCTCCGCAAGGAGGACCTCCCATGGGTATGCAGGGCCCTCCTCCTGGACCCTATGGTGCACATCCACCAGTTTACCCTCCTGCCCCTCAGATGGGGGGTCACCGGGACAGTCATCCTGGAATGCACCAGATGCAGAATAGGCCTCATGCGGCAGAAGTTGAAGGTACCAACAAGAGCAAAGCGCAGCTGATCGTTGGAATTGATTTTGTGAGCATACCAGAGCGCAGATATTTTATCCAGAGAAGCGGGGAATGTTCACTGATAAAGGCATATATAGGGTACCACTTTCAGTGGTGTTGCATTTGCATTTGCTACGGATCAGGAAGCGAAAGAGGATATTATTACCGAGTGGCCCGGTGCGGGTAACCAGACTAAGAATAAGGTGAACTCGCTCTTCTCGTTTTGGAATTGAACCAATCACGTCTAACTTGCACGCAGATCCCCACTGTTTTGTACTATGACCAGTATCAGAAGGTTGTCGGTTGGGGACCTGATATTGCGGATGCTTTGGCTCCTACCGGTTATCCTAAGCCTGGTGTACAAAAGGTATAATATCTTGGCCTCTTTTTGGTATGTTGCATACTAAACCTGTGCAGGTCGAATGGTTCAAACTGCAGCTTATGCTTTCTGGAAATACTTACATCGATCCCATCAATCTTCCCCCTCTTCCTCCTGGGAAATCTGAAGTCGATGTCGCTGCGGACTATCTCTTCAAGTTGCGCCAAGCTATGAGAGCTCAGCTTCAGAAGACCTTAGGAGAAGTCTTTAACCGTGAGGAGCGTAATATCCGCTATTTCTTGACCGTACCAGCTATCTGGAATGATGCGGGGAAAGCCGCAACCAGAGCTGCAGCTATTCAGGCTGGTTTTTTGAGAGACGAAAACGACAATAGGTTGACATTGATTACAGAACCCGAGGCTGCGGCAATGTTCTGTTCCAAGACTGGTCTTCTTAATCTTAAGATCCATGATGCTGTTCTTATTGTTGATTGCGGTGGTGGAACTGTCGATTTAATTGCTTACGAGGTCGAAGAAGAGGTCCCTTTCTCTGTGGCGGAGTGTACAGCAGGTTCCGGTGACTCTTGCGGTTCGACAGCTCTTAATAGGAACTTTTCGAACATCTTGCGTGCCAAGATTAGGAAGATGAAGTTGCCGGATGGATCGAGAACTGCTGGCAAGGTATACGCCAAGTGTATTATGGACTTTGAGAACCGCATCAAGGCGGACTTTAGAAATAATGGACAAAAGTGGGCTGTTGATGTCGGCATTGAGGCTGAGTTCCCTGATGCCGGTATCGAGGAAGGTTACATGACTTTCACCAATGAAGAAATTCTTCAGTGTTTTGAACCTGTGGTCAATAGAATTCTGGAGCTGGTAAGGAATCAAATCATTGCCATCCAGGCGCAGAATAGACAACTTCAGGTATGTTTTTGCAATAAACGTTACACGGGAGCTACAGTCATAACTAATATTATTGATAGAATGTTTTGGTTGTTGGTGGATTTGGTGCCTCAGAGTACCTATTCCAGCAAATCAAATTACATGTGCCTCCTCAGTTCCAATCAAAGGTTGTACGTCCTATGGACTCTGTGGCTGCTATTGTGAAGGGAGCTGTCACCGCTGGTATCACTGAGAAGGTTGTTACATCGCGTGTTGCCCGTAGACATTATCTCATGGCAACTCTGCAACCGTTCAAAGAGGGGCATCACCCCGAGCAATACCGCGTACCCAGCTTGGACGGAAAGGACAGGTGCAAATATACTCGCCAGATTTTCGTCACCAAGGGACAGAGAGTCAAGATTGGGGAACCTGTCAAGGTTTCTTTCTTCAGACAGGTCGCTCCTGGCGCTACTCTGATGTACGAGGATATCCTGTATGCTTGTGACGACGACGTTTGCCCAGAGTACACCAAAGACCCTCGTTAGTATCCCCTATCCTTCATCCTAACCTGATGTAAAGTACTTATATAAGCTATGATATAGGTATCAAGGAAGTTGTGACACTCACCTCTGACTTGTCTCGAAAGAACTTGGAGAAGGACTTCGAGCGGATGGATACTCCTCAGGGAACATTTTACAGGGTCTATTTCGATATTTTCCTCACCCTTGACGGATCAGAATTTAATGCAGAGTTGGTCTGCCAAGGCGAGGTTATGGGTCGTTGTGTAGCAAAGTTCAGGTAGAGTTCCTGCTATGGGTTTTTCGGTTTTTTTTTTTTTTTTTTTTTTCGGTTCGCAAATGCAAACGAGCTCGTAAGTTGCGCGGAGAAGTTACCAATGGTGATTTATTTTATTTTATTAAAGCAAAGTTTGGTGTTTATTATTCTATTTCATGCTTTATTTTTTCCTTTCTACCTGTGAATTTTAGAGATTCAAAAAAATCTTTGAAAAGATGGACTGGGAAAATGCCGGAATGAGAGCAGAGGGAAGACTTAGCACATTTGTTTTGCTCCGCGAACAAATTCTTTTATTCCTTACTTCACGCTATTGTTGTCATACTCCTTTATGTTCTGTTGGTCCCTGTCTCTCGTCTTGTCCAGTCTGGCCCATACTCCGCGCCATCTCTACCTGTCCCTTATGTTAACACCTTTCTTGTTCCGCGCTTCCCTTGAAACCCATACCCCTGCAAGCATGAGCGGTGGAAATGTTTACCTTCAATTTTTACTTTCTCCTCTCTTTTGTCACTTCCCTTCCGTAATTGTTCTTAATGGAACTTTCACCCTTCACTTTTTTGCAGTTAGTGAAATGTTAGTTCTTTAAAAAGTATCAGCTTTTTTTTCTCTTTTTCTCTTTCTTTTTCTTCATTTTTTTTTTTTCGTTCTTGTTGGGGTGTAAGTTACATTGCTTGAAATTCATGATGGTGGGAAGGAAGTATGTGTAGGTAATAGTTTTGTGGTGGTAATGAGATGGACGGTGTTGCTATGCTCGGTTTTGTTTGTCGGACAGGGTGTAGTGCTGGCTGGTAACACGATGTGATACAGGTAGGTAAGGTGGAATCAGAACTTTAGCATACTCTCGAGTGATTGAGTATGAAGATAGTGGAGATGGGATGGTCTACTGAGCGGTGTTCTGGCACCTCGCGGAGTGAATATCACCCTCTACTTGCGCACTGCAGAAGTTTCCGGAAATGTGGAAAATAACTTGGCACCTTGGCACGATCAAAAAAAAGAAAAAGAGTAAAAACAACCGGAGTAGGAAACGGGCAATCAGAAAGAAAAGAGAAAACAAAATCAAAGTATACTATGCTTGAAACTTATTACCTCTATCTTGTAGAATACATTTAGCAACAATAGAGTGCAATTTAGATATCTCATGATTGATATCCTCAACTGTGATTCTGTTTCACTCCTCCTTGAGAATTGTTCTCATATCTGCAGAATTCATGACTTGCTCCTCCTCACGCCGCCGTAGGATCCTAGCCTTCATAATCCGCCAGATATGCTCAATCGGATTAAAATCCGGAGAGTTTGGTGGCCAAGCAATCTTTTTTGCCCCCACCTTTTCCCTTTTGGAATTCGTAAAGTTTGAATTGTGTGATGGAGCATTATTCTCCATTAACAATAGGCTCGAGGTTGGATCGGCAGCTAATTTCTCCAAGTAGGTGGGCCACAAAATTGGCCGACAGACACAAGCCACATACCTCCAAGAATCAATCCCCCCCCATCCCGGATCTTTAATTTTTCAATTTTCAATTTTTTAGACTACCAGGTCTGCTTCGTTTTCACCTTTTCCCCTGTGTCCTTTGCTGTCTTGCGGGCTTCCTGAGCTGCCTTCAGCTCCGCCTCTCGTAGCTCTCTCCACTCACTACTGCTCCGCCAAGCTGTATTGAGTAAATGTTCCTCCTGCTCGCACTGCTAATTGTACTCAAGAACTTTGGATTTTGCTTCTTCTTTTTCTTGCTTTGTTTCAGTCAACCAAATAAAGAAAGGCCCTTTCCAGCCCCATCCAATGGCCTCCCAGCACATCACCGAACGGCCTTTTTTTTTTTTGGCACCAACACAGTCATTGTGCCACTTTTCTCCTTTCTCTCTCCACACAATACTAACTCCGAACACCGCTCCAACCTCAATTGACATCTCATCCATGAAGATAAGGCCGGCCCACTCCTGCTCTGCTCTCCAGTTCTCCCTGCCCGTGCAGTATATCTATATAGTCAACCAGTAGATAGTTAGTAAAGTTCCAATATATATATAAAATAGTATAATAAATTAGGTTGACTTACCAAGCGTTTTGCTTTATTTTCTGCATCCAATATTGGTTTAAATTCCTCCCTGTATGCATGAATGCCTCGCTCAATTAAGGCTCTAAACACAGTAGCATCACTTACATGCTCCAGGCCAGCTTCACGATGTATATCAATCAGCTTCATATGTCGCGTCTTAAAGCCTGTTTTTACTGTCCTCACAAGCTGATCTTTATCTTCTGCTGTGAGGGTAGCTGGCCTACCAGCACGCTTCTTAGAGTTCAGGCAACCTCCTGAGATCAGCTCATATAGAGTGAATGGTGCCTCGGTAACCGGTGCACTATTGGCAGGAACCGCAAGGGCAGGAATTGCGTCCAGAGGGGTTGAATCAGGGGGGCCGGACTGTGTGACACGATTTTCCAAAGTTGGTGGAACCGCTAATCCGACACTGTCTTCAGCCTGTCTAATAACAGACATACTGCCGGAGGCAAGGGTATTGGTGGTGGCTTCCTGGCGGGCCACTCGTGCATTATCCACCGCATTATGACAGATATCATTCGCGGTTGATATTGAAACTCCAGTTTCCTTTTTTATTTGCTTATAGGTTATTGGCTTTGGTAGACTTTGGTAGGCAATGATGACCGCACACCGCCGAGGTGAAATCTCCTTTCCTAAGATATATTAGTAACACATCTATACAGAGTCTATTCAAACTCACCTCTTTTTACTAGATTCCGTGGCATGGCGGTGTTGTTGTGGTTGCACCGATCACAAGAAAAAACCCATAAACGGTGTGTTGACAGGTTGCAACCTGGGTGCCAAGGTGCCAAGTTATTTTCCACATTTCCGGAAACTTCTGCAGTGCGCAAGTATACTACTCTAAAGCGAGAGCTCTTGAGTGATGATGCGAGGAAACCTGGATGCCTTTTATTATTTGCACACAATTCTATAAACGAGTGATTATTTGTGACATTTATTGGAGATCTATAAGGGATTATTACTATGGGGATACTGGAAAAAAAGGGGGGGGGAGCAATGGATAGACGAAATGAGTGTCTCGCCAATTTCTTCGTCTCTAGCCCTTAATTTTCGCTGTGAGAACCTGCAAAGTTGGTATGATATCACCACGGTCCACTCTCACATTCCGCCAAACCTCCTCGGTCCATGGGGAGATATGAGCTTTCCCAGTTCTGTAAAACCTACGCCAAGGTGAAAAAGCAAAGCCATCACATAACAGTTGAGAAGTAAGATGACTTATCATAAGAATTTTTTCTTTTTTCTCCTTCACAAAATGTATCAAAGACACCTCCTTATTTCCACCACCCACCGCCCCATTCAGAGCTTCACATATTTCACAATTGCTCGATAACTTGTAGCAAGTAGTGCGAGGGATTTGGCATTAAGTTCCTAGATTTTTTTATGACTGATGACATACTATCATAATATATGGAAACGTCGTTACTTGATTTTTTTTTTTCCCGTATCGTTTGTCATACTTCCATTACTCGGATTTTCATAACTATGAAAATCTCTACTCACTCTCCGATTTAGATTTAAGTATTGCAATCGCTGAAAGGATGTGACTTGGTTTATCCATGTTGGAATTTGTCTGGGGCTAGCATGTCGTGTTGGTAGTATGGTATTATGTCGCTTTGGCCTTTTGCAAATGCTAGGTTAGAAGTTTTAGGATTACTACCGCCTCAAGGTAACTTATTGATTGGGAACTGGATGTGTGTGTGTGTTCATACTCACACTTTTTTGATCTGGGCCGTGGGCTCGAACCGCGACAAGTACTGTACTGTCCGCGTGCTCCCGTATTGACACTGATTTATATGACGCTCAACAGAACTGCTCAAGCACCGCCAGCGGAGTCTTGGAAAGGCATATATGGGAGGAGGAGGACGTTACAAAGAGGGGGAAGAAAAAAAAAGGTCTAACCATCATGAATGCCCTGTCTGTCTGTCTGTCTGTCTGTCATTTATTGAATCTATCGAATGGGGGGATTAGAGTGATAGGGGATGACGGGCTGAGTTTGGTGTGGTTGGTTGGTGAATTTCGGGTCTGGACTTGCTGAATAAATGACCACTCAGGGGAGGGGTGGGGGGGGGGAGTTAACTTACCCTCACCCAGGTCACTACTATGATCGGGAGACGCGCTCATTGATGTTGCTGAGCAGTGTATTTATTTTTTCGGTCTTTAGACTTTTACTTACTCTCATTCGGGGTATTTATTATGCTAGAGAATCTGGATGTGAAAATCATTGAATTTTCGGTAGGCGCCACCTTTTCCCCCTATCGGGGTGAATTTTGGAGGAATTGTCCAATACCGAGTTTATCGAATACTGGAATTATTATTATTATTATTATTATAGCGCGAGTATTACGCCTGATGGATTTCTGTATTAAATCCTCGCGCTCACGGGTGCCGGCGGGCTCTCACGTCCGTGTGAGGGAAGTATCATAGTTGGGGGCTCGCCGCTCGTGTGGGGTGGTCTATATACATACATGATGGCTTGAGGATTTGGGATGCGCTGTAGGAGTAGTAACTTAGTAAAAGCCCCTTCTATGCACAGTAGAGGTATGTATGATATCATATCCGTGAGGTTCTTTCCTGTCCCAGTTTATGGATGGATTGCTAAGATGCTAGAACCCCTCGTGGGTGAGTAAAATGCGATGCACGTTTTGCTATATAATCGTACCGAATAACTTAGAAATTGTAACAAACGTTCTGGATATGCTGTAAGCTAATGTTTCCCTTGAGGACCACTGCGCTGTAGCTTCGGTCCCACGGACAATTAACCCGGTCTGTCCGTCCGTCCTCAGGCCCTGATGGGGCGGAGGGTGCTACCCAAGAGGCCGGCATGGGCTCCTTTTTAAGTTAGCCTAACGGGAACTGAGCTGTGATCGTTCGGCAAATTAGGACAGGGTAGATTGTTTGTAGGAGGTAATAATCGGGATAGATTGTATCTTCGAGCGACCTACCTTCGAGGTGGGATAAACGA